AATCCTCTATATATTAATTGAGTAGATATTTGGTGAAAAAATCATATATGTCATTTAATGGAGATTTTAAGAAACATATCATTTAAATTAATCGATGAAAATATTTCAATTCAAATCATATGCTATGGTGAACATCTCTATATTTTTCATTAATTTTATAATATAAACTCAGTAATACATATTTTGTAGATTTAAGTTTTACTAAATGTAATATTTAGACTTACCATATGATCTATTTTTTTTAAATTGATATATTAAGAAGCTTTTATTATTATATTTATAACAATATTATTTATTTATAAACGATAACTACATTTACAAATATTTTTATTTTTCATTATTAAAATATATATTTTTTGTTTGTTATGTCTGACAAATTCATATAAATCTAAAATTTGTTTGATTTATCGTATGCTATAATTGACATAAATAATAAAAAATAATTTAACACTTCAAATAAATTGAAATAAATAACATTTGCATTAGTTTTAATACTTTATGCAAATTGATCAAAGCATATAACAATATAGTATGCTTAATCAAATTTTAACTTTAGGACATTTATGTTCAATAAATAATTTTTGTACGTTCATAAATATTGAAATATCCATCTAAATATTAAAATCGATTAGAAAATATATTTAATCTCACGCTTGGCGTGGGTCAAAATCTAGTGTTGTAGTAATTATAGAGGATGTTTAATTCCCTATTTTTGTATTTTGATGGGTTAAATGAATGACGCAAACTTGTTGACAAAAAAAAAAAAAATCTCTAGTCAAATCTTTAATTTCATGTTAAATTTTTTTAGATTATATTTTGTTTATATTAATTTAAATTTTACTAAATTAATCTTAAATACAATAAATAAAATAATTATTTGTTTGAGCTTCGCCTCTATGTCGTTACCGGATACATATTTGTCATAATTTATATTTTAACATAAAATTATAATATTGCAAGTAACAGTAACAGTTTCTACAATTTTTGTTACCAATAAGGTCATCACACTTGGATAAAAAGAAGGTCAAGCCTAAGATGCATACATATTCAAAACCACCAGTCACTAGATTACTGAAGGTGCGAAGTCAACAAATACGTAGAGATGGTACTCACTGAAGAGGAGGCCATAATCAAAGCCAATTTCCTTATTTCGACTAACCCGTGCGTGACCCAAAACACCAAAGAATGGTGAAGATGGACCGTGAAACCACTTTATCATTCATGCCTAAAAAGAGAAGTCCCTTTTGCTGCAGTCGAAGGCGCCATGTCCAAAAGAAGTACGTAGCAAGAAAACTTACTTTTTTATGTGAAAAATCGAATTAATCGAGAAGCTTCCATCACTAATTAATCATTGAAACCCTTCCAAATTCGCAAAAGGAACTACCATGGTTGTGTGGATGTATGCTTTATTTTACCCCCAATAAATTTGTAGATTCATAAACTCAAATATAGGAGAGGAAAGAGAAGTAGATGATCAATATCTAAACTAATTTGTATAACATTACGAACAAAGACAATTCAGACTGAACCAGAATTGTTAACATGTTTGAATTAGAACGTCCCGGTGTCCAAACATTTTCCATCTACATACACGTACATGATCTCCCTCC